AGGACAAAAATTTAAAACAATAAAGGAGAAGAGAAAGGTAGGATATTGGAGAGAACATCGTTCTCTAATTTTAAGAATAATGGTAGTTCCACCCAAAACAAGAACAAATAGAGTAAAAGCAACAATTAAAGTTGCAAAAAAAAAGGTAATATTATAGATAATCAAAAATCAGAGCACAATCAAAAGCCTCACTATATTCTGGATGACATTAATGAAAATATCCTTAGATGTATCTTAGTGATATTTTATTATAGGAATAACATTTTTATGAATAAAAATGTCAATAACAGAGAATAAATTTTTCTGAATAAATTTTTTATGAATAAAAATGTGAATAACAAAGAATAACAGATTACATAAAAAGAGATAGATGTTCAAACTAGCTTCTGGCTTTTCTCAACAAAACACGAATGCCAGAAAACATTGAAGAAGTATCAAAGTTTTAAGGAGACAGTTTCACAATTCCAAATTCTGTGCTCAGCTAGGTTATTTCTGTTGTAAATACCATTACAAAATTAAGTGAAAATATTTCTTTAAAAATAACATTTAATTGTTACAAATTTAAGTATTGTGAATAATCTATATTTCAAATTTCCGAATAACGTAATGAAGACCATGAATTGAAGACTGGGAAAGAATGCACGGAGCAAAACACATTCTAAATCTTGTGATAGGTAAAGGGGACTAAAGATTATTGTTCTGTTCTTGACTTTATTACACAGAAAGAAGAGTATAAGTACATCAATTCTACTATTAACTAGATATTCATTATTAGAATTTTTAAAAATGGAAGTCACTGTATCAGATCAAATCAACTGTGGTCTATATGGTGTAATGGAAAGAGATAAAGACTCTCATATTTTTAGTTTAAAAGAAGTCTGTTGGTGTCAGATATCTATTTTACCTTTAAGTAGAAAGGTAAAAGATCTAAATTCCAAGGGTCTTAGAATTATCAAAGAAAGTAGGCACTACTGATAGCTCCAGAAATTGGAGGTGCAAATTTGCAATCATTATTCAAGTAAATCATTAATTAATAAATGAGGCCATTTAGTTTAACATGCAAGAAAGACCCTCAAGAGATTAAAGATTGTGGAATACTACTCAGCCATAAGAAATGATGAAATCCAGCCATTTGTGTCAACATGGATGGACATTGAGGGTATTATGCAAAGTGAAATAACTCAGAGGGAGAAGGTCAAATACCGTATGATTTCCTTCATTAAGTAGTAGATAATAACAAAAATACACAAACACATAGAGACAGAGATTGGATTGGTGGTTACCAGAGGGGAAGGGGGGTGGGAGGAGGGCGAAAGGGATAATTGGACACATGTGTGTGGTGATGGGTTGTAATTAGTATTTGGGTGGTGAACATGATGTAATCTATGCAGAAATAGAAGTATAATGATGTACACCTGAAATTTATACAATGTTATAAACCAATGTTACTGCAATAAACAAAAAATTAAACAAAAAAAGATTGTGTTTCATAGGCTATAAAAATACTCTCTGAAATTCAAGTATCTTGACAAAACTTGTTTTCAGGGACATTTTTATATTTAACTGACAACACAACAGGATGGTTATATTTAAATCTTTTAACTGAGTTTTCTACATTATTTATAGCTGAATACTAATCCATTCTATGTTTACACCAGTTTCTTTTTCCATTCATCTGTTGATGGACAATTAGGTTGTTGTCATCTCTTGGCTCTTGTGAATAATGCTGCAATGAACATGGGACTGTGAATATCTGTTTGACATGCTAATTTCAACTCTTTTGATAAATACCCAGAAATGGGTTTGCTGGATCATATGGTAGTTACGTTTTTAATGTTTTTGAGAAAACTCCATACTGTTTTTCATAGAGGCTGTACCATTTTACATTCCCAAAACCGTGCACAGGGGTTCAATATCTCTGCATCCTAACAGATGTGAGGTGATATCTCATTGTGGTTTTGATTTGCATTTCTCTGATGATTAGTGATGTTGAGCATCTTTTCATACACCTGTTGAGCATTTGCATGTCTTCTTTGGAGAAATGTCTATTCAATTCCTCATCCCATTTTTAAATTGAGCTATTAGGGTTTTTTTTTTGCTACTGAGTTGTAGGATTTCCTTATATATTTTGAAATTAACCCTTTATCAGATATATGCTTTAAAAATGTTTTCTCTTTTTCTGTAGATTGCCTTTTCACTCTGTTGATTGTTTGCTTTGCTGTGCAGAAACATTATAGTTTTATGTAGTCCCACATGTCTATTTTTGCTTTTGTTGCCTGTGCTTTTGGTGTCATATCCATGAAATCATTGTAAAGTTAATGTCGTGAAGCTTTTCCCCTATGTTTTATTCTAGGAGTTTTAGTCTCATATCTTATGTTTAAGTCCTTAATCCATACTGAGTTGATTTTTTGTGTATTGTGTAAGATAAGGGTCAATTTCATTCTTTTGCATGTGGATACCTAGTTTTCCCAACACCATTTGTTGAAGACAGTATCATTTCCCTTTTGTATATTCTTGGCACTTTTGTCAAAGATCAATTGACTGTATATGTGCAGATTTATTTCTGGGCCCTCTATTCTTTTCCATTGGTCTATAGATCTGTCTTTATGCC